CCCGCCCCCCCAGGCCCCCCTCCCTCCGCCCAATAAGGACATAAACTTCAACCCCTTCGTCCAGCCAGTCCATGCAGGGCGCAGATGAGTCCCTCCCTCGTATTTTACTCCCTTCCTCAAAGCTCTTATTTAGTTTTCTTAGCCTTTCCCATCCTCCTCCTTTCCCTCGTTCTTTCCTCCTAGCTCTTGGTCTCCCTTCACCTGCCGCGGCCCCTCTCCCCCCACTCTCTCTCCCTCTCTCTTCTGCCCCAATCTCTCTCGGTCCACCTTAACCCGAGCTCCGCCCCCGACCCCCATCCAGCCCACTGCCGCTGTTCCGCCCCGCCTCCTGCACGCCACCGCCCTGTCTGTCCATTGGCCCGAACATCCGCCCATCCCAAGTGGTCCCGCCTTGCGATCGTCCAGGGAGGGGAGGGAGGGGGCGGAGCTGAAGGGTTGGCTTGAAACCTGGAGGGAAGGGGGGAGGGGGCAGCGTCCGCAGTGGCCAGGGAACTGAGGACCCCCTCCAGGGACTCTCCCTGCTCCTAGAGGGGTTTCTTTAGGGTCAGGACCTCCAAAGGGAAAGGCATGAAAGTTAAAGATAGGATGGCGGTGGAATTGGGGACTTAGGGTCTTGAGGGAGGGGGTCCCGTGAGGGGCTATAATCAGGTCAGGGCCCCAAGAGGGAGGGGGGAGAGGGAATCATCAGGCCTTCAACTCTGGCCCACTCCCTCTCTGAGTGGGGGAGTTGAGACTGCGGGCACCCTGCGTCCTTCCCCACGCGTGATGGCACCTCGCGGGGAGGGAACGACGCCCCGGGCGAGCAGCCTCTGAGCTCCATCTGAGGCGGCTTCGGCCTTGGCTTTGTCAGAGGGGAGGGGCCCGGTCAGTGCAGGGGGAGGGGGAGGCGCGCTCACACTCTTGTTCCTAGCCTCCATCCCCTTGGTTTCCTAAGTGGAGAAACCGAGTCTCCAGGAAGGAGGGACATCTTGACTTGGATTCGCTGAGACCCACGTGGTGAGGGGAGCTGGGTGTTTAGAGCGTGTGTTTGTGTGAGTTGGGAGGGACCTGGATGGGTACTTCAGTGCCCTCACCGACTGAGAAAGGTAGCCTGTGAGAGCAGCTTTCAACTGGGCCTGCGGTGCCGCGTACCCCAAAGCGCTCCTCCCACCGTTGTCAAACGGAATCAAATCCGGCTACCTCGGCCAGGTTCGGCTCCCCTGCGGCCAGCCTGGCCGAACCGGGTCGGACTTGCTTTTCCCTTCCCAACCCCCTCTGCAGGGGGCCTCCCTCCTTTTCCAGCAGGTGGCTCCGCGGGACACCAGCTCAACCTGTTGGACCACAATGGGCGGCGCCAGGGGGGCCCTGGCCCTCACCCGGACTGACCCGGGATCCCCGCGCAGGAGGAGGGGCAGAGTCAGGTCCCACCCTCCCTCTCCCTCTGGCGGTGACTCAGCCTCCGGCCGCTGCCCTGTGCCCCAGCCAGGAGCGGAAAGTGTGAGGCTCCCCTGAGGGCTCAGGCCAAACCAAACAGCCCCTCACCCCAGACATTATCTCACTGGAGAATTAGGGGGTCTATAGGAAGGAGGAGGTAGCAGCAGCAGGCACCGGGCGCTCCGGCTTTAGTAATCCGCTCCGGGTTTTCCTATCGTCCCTGTCCCCCTTGGGTCCCAAGGTTGGTCACTGCTCCGGGTTTTCTTCTCTGCCCCCGCCAGGCAGATTCTGGTCCGGAGGGCCTGGAGCGGGTGGGATCCAGGCCAGGGTTTGTTTCTTCCTTCTCCAGCCATCGGGGTCGCGCTGGCGTAGGGAAGGGCTGTGCCAGGGGCCAGGCGGCGGTGCCATATGCGCGAGTGAAATGGAGAGGCGGCTGTTTCGAGAAGGAGGGGGCGTAGCCGAAGAAAACGGGATGGGGTAGGTGGGCCACGCAGGACAGAGCCAAACACTCCCAGAAGCAGTGGAAGAGTGGGCGCCCGAACGTCAGCCCTTGGGTACAGAGGCGCGGATGGCGCCCAATGCCTAGAGTTCGCCTGGTCTCCCCCAAGTTTAGGGATCGCGTCTGACGTCTGCCTGGACACAACTTGGGTCTTTCTGCGCCTGAATTGCTACTGTCCTCTTCAGTCCCCAAGTCCTGGAGCCTACAGTTAGTTCCTCAGTAACCCCCTACCGTGTTTCTCTTTTTCTTCTGGTTCAAATAGCTCCTCTTCTCACTCATAAATCGGAAGGGGGAACCCCTACTTGAAATTCCCTCCTACCCCCAACTCTAGCTTCTACTGAGCCAAACCACCGAGACGACCGCTGCACACAGAGCCTGGCTCCGCCTCCTACGAAACCCCTTCGGGGCCCCAGGGGCTTGCAGGCCCCGGCCCAGCCTCCAGGCCCTGACTGGAACTGGGAGCTGAAGGGCAAGTGTAGGGCTGCAGGGGCTTCCTGGGGACAGTGGAGCTCCTCGCATCCGCACGTTCTGACTTCAGTCGACCAAGCCAGTCCTTGTTGTTTGGGGAGAGTAACAGGAGGTGGACAGATACCTGGGGAATGAGGTGTTTACCTTGATAGAGGAATGAAATCCCCGGCTTAGAGGTCCGTATTTCTGGGGTTGGGGGCCAGCGACTTGGACTGGCCAGGCCACGTGCGCCAAGAACGGCTACAGAGAAGGCAGGTGGTCGCAGAGCCTGGGGAAGTGAGGTTTCTTAGCAAGTGAGGCGAGGCTCTGCCTGAGCGGGCTTCTGGGTGAGTGGGTCTGGGGTACTGTTTCAGAATGCGGGGGCCTGAGCTGGAAGCAGAGTGTCAGCCTGAGCTGGGCGCCCACCTCTTCCCCGATGCTCCCCTTCTTCCTCGCCGCCTCTGCTTCCCTCGAAAAACCCGCCGCCCAGGAAACCGCTGGGGGCGCGCAAACCGCAGCGCCCGCCGCCCCCCAGCGCCCCACCGCGACCGCCCAACCCACCTGAAGGGGCCGTGGCCGCCAGGGGCACCCCTCCCGCCGCCCCCCCCCCACCTGCGGGTGCTCTATTTTTAACTCCGGGCCTCTGGGTTGGAGCCGGTTGCGGCGCGCGCTAATCGCCGCCGGGATCTCTGCGCCCCCCGGGGCCGGAGGAGGTAAATTTAGCATCTGGAAGCTCCGGGGAACATTTCCAAAACTCAGCGTCCCGGAGAAGGCGAAACGGAACCCCTTGCCCTCAGCCTCCCTTCAGCCACCGGACGGCGGGGTCTCCAGGCTCCTCGGACCCAGCGGGAGTGAGAGTAGCTCCTCGGCGGCAGGCAAGGGGCTGAAGGCGAGCGAGGGACTGGTACTGACGGGCCAGGGCGCGTCTGCAGGAGTGGACGCGACCCGAGGCTGGCCCTGACTCTGCACTCTTGACAGTCACTGATAAAGGGGATGGGGGAGTGAGGGTCAAGAACTCACGTGCAAACGAGATGCAAATAGGATGCAAATATGGTGAAAGCCTAAGCCTTTGGGGGTCGCCGCTCTGGCGCCTGCAGCGAAACGGTTGCAACCCTCTTTCTGCTCGCCTTGTGGCGTTGCGGGGAAAACGTGGGACTACCCCCCCCACCCCCCCAGCATTATTGTGACATCCAGTTAATTTATTGTGCACGGCTTCTTAGACCCTTGGTCTTAACTTCTGCCTCTCCCTCTTGAATGCCTTCTCAGTCCTGTATCCGAGGAAATCCTCCGGGAATCCTGGACATCCGTCCACTCCGCTTGCTGTCCTACTTGGGGTCGCTCAACTTGTCGCTAGTACCCCACTCAGTCCCGTACCCCTTGTGGCCACCAGAGGGCCCCGGGGCGCCCAAGGGTGGGTAAGGTCTTTCCGTCCCTTCCTATCCTGGCACCTGGCGCCATGCTCCCCATTCGCAGCCCCCCAACCCCACATGAGTTCCTGAGGGAGTACCCGGACACTCAAGATCTGAGTTGCTTAGTTGGAGAGAGAAATTTGTGAGAAAACGATCAGATTTACCCCTTCTAGCGGAGCTGTGAGGCAGAAAAGATGTGGCCCATGTGGATTCGGTGAAAAGGCTGTAGCTGGGACGCCAAAATGAGCTAAGAACCCAATGAGAAGGAGAGCTTAGCATAGAGGCGGGAAGCGGCACAGCATGGACCGGGTGGGTGCAGAAAAAGGGAGTGGCCCCTCTATGCTTTTTTGCTTTTGTGGCTTTACCTCCTGAGTTGCTTAGGCCACCATCCCCACACCAACACCAGCTAAGAAGAGGAAGACAGGGTATCAAGAGAAATCCTGAATTTGAGATCTGAAAATCCGGGTTCGTTAAATACTCTGTAGCAGTGTGTTATGTATGTGACCTTGGGCAAATCGCTTCACCTCTTTGGGACCTGTTTCCTTCCATTTAGTGGGATAATTACCTCTGTCCTGCCTCCTTTTGTGAGGCTCTCAGCACTGTGCAGTGTGAAAAGGGCTCTAATAATGGTAAGTGAGGTTTTCCTTGTACTCCTCCCTTTCCTCTGTCTTTCCACTGTCCAGGTTCTCTTTCCCACTCTGACACTCTTCTTGGGCCACTGGCAGGCTCTACCCTTTTCTCCCCCTCCTCCAGTCCCCACCACCCATCTCACTACAGGCCAGAGGCCTGGGCTCTGCCTTCCTCCTCCTGCCACTTCCCCAGTGGTCTTTGCCAGACATCCCCTCTCCTGGTAAAGGTCCTTGTGCCCAGACCTCAGACTTAGGACCAACCTCAAGGCACTGCCCAACTTGGTGGGAGTGGGGCCTAAGAAAGTAAAAGAAGGTGGTAGGCCAGGGCCTGAGTTGGAGAAGGGGTGGAACTGGTCAAGCAAGGTGCAGGCTATGCAGGGAGGGAGGAGCCCCACACTCAGATGGGGAGGAAAATTCTGTGACAACCCCCCCATCACTAACCTTCCTTGGTTGGCTTCAGGAGGACCTTACCCCTCACTGCTGTTTTCTGGGAGGCAAGTGTGGGGACTCTGAAGGGAGCGGGTATGAGCAAGACCTGCCTTTTGTGGATGCCTAAAGAAGGGCACTGAGCTGCCAGGGGTAAAAAATAACCTCAAATTAGGGTACTATAGAGTACTGAGCTGCAGTGAAAAAGAATGGAGAGGCTCTAAATGTACTAATGTAGAATCTTGGATCCTATTCAAGGTATATTAAGAGGAAAAAAGCCAGTGTGTAGCATATGTTAGTTAACCAACTAGGAAGAATAATTATGTCCAGAGTCCAGCCACTCTCACTCCTGCTATTAATGTAGGTATAAGCCTGGTCTGAGCCAACATGTCTGGCTGATATTGTGCCTGTTACTTCCTGATGGGTCTCATATTCTACCCTTGATCCCCTTAAAAACTTTTTTTTTTTCAGACAGAACCTCACTGTGTCACCCTGGGTAGAGTGCTGTGGTGTCACAGCTCATAGCAACCTCCAACTCTTGGGCTTAAGCGATTCTCTTGCCTCAGCCTCCTAAGTAGCTGGGACTACAGGCACCCACCACAACGCCTGGTTATTTTTTGGTTATAGTTGTTTGGCAGGCCCAGCAGGATTCGAATCTGCCAGCTCCGGTATATGTGGCTGGTGCCCTAGATGCTGAGCTACAGGTGCTGAGCCAATCCCCTTAAATTTTATTCTCAACACAGCAGCAAGAGTGAGCTATTTTCCTTTTTTTGAAAGTCACCTCAGCTAGAATACAGTGGCTATCAGCTCACTGCAACCTCAAACTGCTGGGCACCAGTGATCCTCCTGCCTCAACCTCCTGAGTAGCACATCAGCCTAGCAAAGTGCTAGGACTGCAGGTGTGAGCCACCATTCCCCGCCTGGTGTGAGCCTTTTAAATAAAAAAATAATAATAATTTCATGCTCAATGTCCTGCAATCGTTCATTTCACTCAGATCTCTTATTGAGCTCTCCATGACCTGCCCTCACTTAATTTTTTCTTTTTTCTAGGCTACCTATCACCTAATAACATTATATACTTAATTTTGTTATCCTTATTACTTGCAGTTTTTTTGGCTGGGGCTGGACTTGAACCTGCCACCCCCGGTATATGGGGCCAGCGTCCTACTCCTTGAGCCATAGGTGCCACCCACATTATATACTTTATAGTTTATCTTCTGTCCCACCCACCCACAGAGGGGTACAGAGATAGAGCTACAGAAATCTATTTTGTTCATTGTTATATCCAAAGTGCACAGACCAGCATACAGCACACGCTCCATAATATTTGTGGGTAAGTGTGTGAAAACACAGCCCATGCCCAGGCTACCTCTAGGTTGCTCTCCAGGAAACTGGTAGTCATAATTACTGCCAGGGAGGAAAGCTGGTGGGCTGGAAAAAGGTATAGACATTTTTTGCTATTAGAATTCTTTACTTTAGGGATATGTCACCTTTAGAAAAAGAACCTGCAGAGGAGTTAACTAAGAAGGCTGAGGAGTAGCTGGTTCCAGGGAAGGTGGGAGAGAACCCCATACATCATCTCTAGGCCAGTGCACCAGGTTAGAAAGGGTTGGGAGCTGAGTGAGCAGGAGAGATGGCTGGTTCCGGGGAGGGGGAAGGCACCTGAGGAGGGAGGCATCAAGAGGATGGTGAGGAGGAAGAGTTGGCCCTGGCCAGAAAAGGACACTTCTTTGAAGAGTGGAGAGAAGGAAAGAGGAAGGATTGAGAAATGACCAAGAGGTTCTCAGCAGGGCAGGTCTGTTCTTGGGGTTCGAAAGGAGGGGAGGGGGCAGGAGTGATTTACAAGGTGGGGTGTGGGAAGGGCAAAAACATATGATTAAGAAAAAAAGGGGGGGGTTGGGAGTCAATAACTGGGCCCTAAGAGGGCCAGGGAATATTAGATGGGCACCCCTGGGTGATGCTGAACAAGTCCTGTGGCTCGGCATATCAATAAGCATGAGCAAGACACTGTACACAGCTAGGGTATGTATACCTGCCACTGGGATAATTCAGGGAAAGCAGGTAGTGGTGGCTACCAAGGGAAAGTGAGGATTCAGTTCTGCTCAGTTGAGTTGTTTAGGTGCTGATAGGGCTGTATTGTGATAGGAGGACATAGGTGTCTTTGTCTCATAACTGTGTGTGGGCCGGGAGCTCTGGTGGTTCAGGGTGCCCTCCTTCCTTGATGAGCTGGGGCCCAGCATCAGCTCCATGCCTCCCCCAAGATCCTCAGAGGCAGGGAGCTGCCCAGACCAGGCATTTTATTTGGGAAAAGGCTGGGTCCTTTGGGTTCCCATCCTAATTCCCAGAGCCTCACATTAGAAGACGTCACCCAAGCTGGACCTCTCCCCCACAGGCTAGGAGGAACCTGGACTTTTTGTCCTCCACCTCCCCACAAAGGCACCAGTGAGTCAGAATACCTGGCTTTCAATCGGAGTTCTATCCAGAACAAGCTCCTTTCCACCCCGTTCTGCTTCCTGGCTCCAGTGCTTTTTCTAATTCCCCTTTAGACACTGAGAACTTCTGGGCTCAAGGTCTATTTATTGCATATACAATTCAGTGACTCTCAAACAGGTACTTTAGGGGTGGCCCATTGCTGGCACCAAGAGAGTACAGTCAAGCCAACTATCTGGTCTGGTGGGCTCACTGCCAGGTCTGGTGGCCATCTTATTGGGGTCCTAGCCAGTAGAGGTCCCCTAAGGTGGGGGCTGGGAACAGGCTCAGAGATGAAGCAGGTCTGACAGGTGGCACAACTTAAGGCAGGGTCCACGCTTCACTCTTCCATCCTTGGTCAAGCACAGCTGGCCCTGGGAATCTTGATAGAGGCTGGGCTGGGTGCTAAAGAAGACAACGGAAGTTGAGAGGCAAGCTCTGCGCTGGAGCTGCAGTTGCCTCCTGTCTGCCCTGCCTTGCCCACCTGAGTGATGCCAGTGGGGAGAGGTGGTAGTTCCCTTCTGCCATTAATCCAGCAGTTCCTTGATGCACCAGCAGCAGAGGAGGATATAGGCGATGTCCTTCAGGGTCTGCTGCAGGCCTTCCCACCCTGTGCCCACCTTAAAGACAGGTACCCGGAGCCCTGTGTCTCGCAGGGCCCCTCCGAGGGAGAAGGGCAGGGCCTGGGCTAGGGGCTGTGTCCGAGGCTGCATTGGGCCAGTTCTGAGGAAGGGTGTGGGAGCTGCCTTTGGTGCCTTTTATCAACACTGTCCCCATCCCCCTCAGGTCTCATGACAACAAAGACAAAGGCCCCAGGGATTAACAAGGGAAGGTTCTAGGCCTGAGAATGGGCTGTGTCAGCCCCTATAGACAGACAGGAGGGGTGGGGTTAGTAGGAGGGAGGGCCTGGCCTCTCCATCTTTCATCCTGCACAGCCAGGCCAACTCAGCCATCCATCCCTCCTCCAGCGGGTGGTGGTGGCCTGGATGCTCCTTCACCAGGGATTGGCTGACACTGAGGACCCTCACCAAGGGCTCCTTCCTGCCCACTCTGCCCTCCTATGGGGCACAGCCAGCTCAGAGCAGGCAGTGGTCGGCCCACTTTGCTTTGCCCATCCCTGCAGCTGAAGACAAGCTAGAGCCAGAGGCACAGTGAGAGGCAGGTTTATTGTCAGTCACACCCAGGGACAGCCTCCTCCCCCCACCCACCAGGCAGCAGGTCACGTGCGGGAGTTGCGCTCCTCATCCTCATTTTCTAGTAGATAGGCGGGCCGGTAGGTGGGGCGTCCTCCAGGGCTCAGGCACTTCAGGGCTGGGTTCCTCACTGTGTTCTCCCGGCTCCCCAAAGATGTGTACCTGCAGCAGGGACAGTCGTGGGATGGTATGTGTAGGGAGGGTGCTCTAATGTCTTCCCCGTGCCCATTCTCTTCCCTAACAGCCTTACCCTCGATCATACAGGATACAGTATGGGACAAACAGCTGACGCAGAAAGTCCCAGATGTCTCTGTAGGTCCAGTCCTAGGAGGTCACAGAATAGTCACAAATGCTCCCCCCTCCCATACCCACTCCTTGCCATTCTGGGAAGGAGTCCACCCATGAATTTTCTGCTCCCTTACCCTGCGAAAGAGCCTTGTTCCATGCAGGTGAGTGATGAGGAGAAGGCCCGGTCCTCTCCCTTCTCCATTCCCCACCCGCCCCCCACTTGAGTGTGAGCTCAAGGAAGACAGGGAGGCCCCATGTTGCCCAAGCCAGAGCTATCTATTGTACTTTCTGTGATGACAGGATGTCCCACATCTGTGCTGTCTACTACAGTGGTCATGTGAAATGTGGCTAGTACAGCTGAAAAGCTTAGTTTTTTTAAAAAAAAATGTCTAGATATAGTTTTTTTTTTTTTTTGAAACAGTCTCACTATGTCACCCTCAGTAGAGCGCTGTAGCATTGCAACTCACAGCAACCTCAAACTCTTGGGCTTAAGCAATTCTCTTGCCTCAGCCTCCCAAGTAGCTGGAACTACAGGTGCCCACCACAATGCCTGGCTATTTTAGAGACGAGGTCTCACTCTGGCTCAGGCTGGTCTCCAACCTGTGAGCTCAGGCAATCCACCTGCTTCGCCCTCCCAAGTGCTAGGATTACAGGTGTAAGCCACTGCACCAGGTCCAGTATAGATGAATTTTTAATTGTATTTAATTTTTAAATTTGAACTAAGCATGGCAACATGCACCTTTAGTCCCAGCTACTCAGAAGGGTGAGGCAGGAAGGTCATTTGGGCCCTGGGCACCATAGTGAAACCCCATCTCAATATTAAATAAAAAAAATTAAGGCTGGGCACAGTGGCTCACACCTATAATCCTAGCACTCTGGAGGCCAAGGCAGGTGGATTGCCTGAGCTCACAGGTTCGAGACCAGCCTGAGCAAGAGCAAGACTTAGTTTCTAACAATAGCGAGGCATTGTGGTGGAAGGCTGTAGTCCCAGCTAGTCAGGAGGTTGAGGCAAGAGAATTGCTTGAGCCTAAGAGTGTGTGGTTGCTATGTGCTATGATGCTACAGCACTCTACCAAGGGTGACGCAGTAAGACTGTCTCAAAAAAAAAAAAAAAAAAAGAGGGTGGCGCCTATGGTTCAAAGGAGTGGGGCGCTAGCCCCATATGCTGGAGGTGGTGGGTTCAAACCTGGCCCAGCCAAAAACTGCAAAAAAAAGAAAAAAAGAAAAGAAAAGAAAAAGAAAAAGAGAAAAAAGCCTTTCAGCCAGAGACATCATCTTCCCATCTTCCAGTAATTCACCAAAATGACAAACACAAAGGGAAAGAGGAGAGGCACCTGATACATGTTCTCTAGGCCTTTTAGAAAACATGGAGTTGTTCCTTTGGCCACATATATAAGAATCTACAAAAGGTGATATTGTAGACATCAAGGGAATGAGTACTATTCAAAAAGGCATGCCACACAAATGTTACCATGGCAAAACTGGAAGAGTCTACATTGTTACCCAATATGCTGTTGGCATTGTTGTAAACAAACAAGTTAAGGGCAAGATTCTTGCCAACAGGATTAATGTTCGTATTGAGCATATTAAGCACTCTAAGAGCATAGCTTGCTGAAATGCATGAAGGAAAATGATCCGAAAAAGAAGGAAGCCAAAGAGAAAGGTACCTGGGTTCAACTAAAGCACCAGCCTGCTCCACCCAGAGAAGCACACTTTATGAGAACCAACGGAAAGGAGCCTGAGATCCTGGAACCCATTCCCTATGAAATTATGGCATAACAGGCATATAACATAGCACACAGGAGAACCAATGGAACCATGATATTAGGTGCTGGAACTTATTTATTCCCCATGAATTCATGGCATAAGAGGTATACAGCATAGCACATGGGATAACCAACAGACCCCATGTAACAGCAATATAAAGTGTTAGAACCTTTTCCCTATGAATTCATGGCAAAACAGATATTAAAAATAATGGCCTACTAATACTGTGAAATGTTTCTGGTCATTCACTAAAAGCGTGGTATGTTTTTCCCCAAAAGAGTATTAAAGCAAATTTTAATAGTGTCCTAAAAAAAAAAACAAAACTGAGGGGCAGTGCCTATGGCTCAGTGAGTAGGACGCTGGCCCCATATACTGAGGATGGCAGGTATGAACCCGGTCCCAGCCAAACTGCAACAAAAAAATAGCTGGGCGTTGTGGTGAGTGCCTGTAGTCCCAGCTACTTGGGAAGCTGAGGCAAGAAAATCACTTAAGCTCAAGAGTTGTAGGTTGCTGTGAGCTGTGACGCTACAGCACCCTACCAAGGGTGACAAAGTGAGACTCTGTCTCTAAATAAAATAAATAAATTGAGATATAATTCACATGCCATACATAAAATTTACCCTTTTAAAGTATGTAGTTCAGGTGGTCTTAGTAACTTGTACTTCATTTAATTAATTCAAGTATAACTACATGGCTTGTAGCAACCACAGTGGACAGCATACCACAGCACAATGCCTGCCACTGAATAGGGCTCAATAAGTGGTGGTCAAAAAGATCAATCAAGAAATAGCTCTGCCTCCCTTAGGTGAGGGGGCCCCTCATCCAAGTCCCAGCCTGTAGCCTCTCCTACCACCACCCTTGGGAAGCCAGGCTGCAAGGACTGAGATGGCATGAAGATAATAACCCAGTTACCAGCAGCGGGTTGACACGCAGGAATGGAGGCCAGCCTGGGTCTGTGGGGCTGAAGGGGCAGAGGCTGCAGGAATAGGGGTCAGTGCGGCGAGTGCCCATCAGAACGGCCTCCAGCTGGGGGTGCTGTGCTTGCAGCTCACCCAGAGCCTGCTTCATGTTGCCCTCAGCCTCCAGTACCTGCAGATTATACCTTATGAAAGAAGCAGAGGGTCAGCATTGGGCCTGCAGGGCCCTTTTGGAGCCCAAACCTCCAGGCCCCTCATACCTCTTGATGGTGTCCTGTAAAAACTGTTCCAGCTCAGGGAAAGGGGAGATGCCACGGATATACAGGATCTGGAGTGGTTTTGGAACATCAGGGAATTTCCTGGAGAGGGGAAAAATCCATAGGCTTGCCAGCATAGACAGGGAAATCACTGTTTAGAAAAGCTATTCTTTGTCCCTTGGACAGATAACCTCTCTCTCTCTCCCCTTTTCACCTGTCAGGTCCACTCCCTCTAGGAAGCCCACTCTGACTCTCACCTCTCAAACCTTAGCATGTTAATCTTGCCTCCCCAAGGGACCCTGGCCCAGCTGTGGTGAGGGAGGGTGGCTGCACCTCCACACTCGAGGCCATGCTCAATTAATATGCAGGGGGAATAGAACTGAGAGGTCACTATGCCCTACCACCCTGGGGGTGGGGGTAGGGAAATGGAGAACAGGCCAGAGCAGGGACTTCTGGGGCCGTGTTCACTCCGCTCGCCATTCACACAGGCTCACCTCTGCACGGCAGCGTGGAAGAGGTGCAGGAGGGCAGTGCAGTCCTTGCCCCCATTGAAGCCCACACAAAGCTGGGTGAGGTTGTATCGAGCCAGGGCAGTCTCAATGGTCTGTAGGGCACTTGCCACCTTTTTCCCCAGAGAAGACCCTGCCATGCAGGCAGGGAAGAGGGCATCAGATAGATACATGTGGCCATTAAAAGGGAGTGGGGGCCATGTTGCCCTTGATTAAAGCCCTTCCACATCTTTCCAATGTTCTTAAGATAAAGTCCAAACTTCATGCTGCCTGCTAGGCCCAGCAGGGTCTGCCTCACCGTACCCCACTTGGCTTGTGTCTTCCCTCTGGAGAAGGAAATGTGGGGAGATGTGGGAGATGAGAGGATCCTGGCACTCCTTCCTAGTTGTTTGCTTTAGCCCACCCCCTGGTCTGAACAAATCCTCATGATCACTCAGCTTATATATCACTTGATCAGAGACACTTTCTCTAACTCCAGATCAATACTGGCCTCCCTACTGCAGGAACTCACTCTGGTCATCGCTCCATGAGAACCCTGTTTGATGTCTGCCTTTCTCGTTAAACCACTGATCCATGAGAGCAGAGCACATATTCTATTAAGCCATAATTCCAACATCTAGCACAGCACTGATAAAAGTAGGTACTCAGGGCAGTGCCTATGACTCAAAGGAGTAGCAGTGCCTATGACTCAAAGGAGTAGGGCATCAGCCCCATACGATGCTGGAGGTGGCAGGTTCAAACCCAATCCTGGCCAAAAACTGCAAAAACTGCAAAAAAAAAAAAAAAAAAAAAAAAAAAAGATAGGTACTCAATCAGTTCTTACTGGATAAGAAATGAATCAATAGTAGCTATCTTCTGCCCACTCCTGAATCTGTGGATGCCGCCATAGCCCTTGCATTATTGAGACCTAGGGTGGGACCAGAAGCTTGGTGCATGCTGTCCCCACCTCCCCACCCCCACAATGGGCCCTACCTGATTCTGCAAGTTTGTATACAGCCTCACCGGCCTGCTCCACAGCATCCGGCATGTATGGGACCAGTGACCCCTGGGGCAAGTGGGCAGTCAGGTAAGCCAGGCACTCTTCCAGGGACCCTTCCTCCTCCGAGTCTAGAGTCAGCTTCACCTGATAGTAGTTGCTGCCCCAGTCAGGGTATGAGCCTAGGCTCAGCCTCTGCCCAAAGTGGGCCTGGGCCTCAGCCAGGGTGTGGGCAATAGAGACCTCATCAGCAGCCACGTATAGCTCCCGAGAATGGAACTGAACGGCTGTGTTTTGGAACAGTCCCTTTAGTCCCTCCAGCACTCGCTGCAGCAGCTCCGGAATGCCTGGGAAGAGGTAGACATTTCGGACAGAGACCAGCGGGAATCTGAAGGGGCGACCGGTGTGTGGATCTGTGCCATAATGCAGGCGGGCAGAGGAGGGCACCAGCGACAGCTTCTCCCAGCCATCTCCTCCTAGGGCTTTGGTGGCTGCTTCCAGCTCAGGGTGTGGCTTCAGCTCATCCCCAAAGGCCTTTGCCACTGCCTCAAAGGTCACATCATCATGTGTGGGGCCGATGCCCCCTGCTGTGAGAACATGGGTGAAGCGGCTGGAGAAAGAAGTCACCTCAGCTGCAATGGTGGCTACCTCATCAGGTATGACAGAGACTCGGCAAACCTGGACCCCCAGGGAGCGCAGTGTCCGGCACAGAAAATAGGTGTTGGTGTCCTGAGTGTGTCCCTGGGGTTGGAGGTTAGGGGGAGGAAGAGACTGTCAGTGCTGTGGGGAGGAAATGATGGCTGCCTCTGCCTGGTGATGGGGGCACTTTGCTTTTTGGAGGACACAATCTCAGGCTGCCAATGAGCCTAGACTGGGCACAGCAGTGGGAAAATTCATTTGAATGGAACCAGGGATTATATGACCCACTTGGGACCTCTTTCTTTGCACTTTGACCCTGACCTCACATTTATGGATTTAATTATCAATTCTATGTGGACAAGTTGTCTACTTACTACCCCAACAGCTACAGTCTCTTAACTCCAAGTACTTGGGGGCTATCTTACTGCATCCCTAGCTGTTGTTGCTTTGGTCAGTGGCATCCCCAGATACTGTTCAGAGCCAGCCAGGCCCTTCATACTGTCAACTCTACTTCTAAAACATCACCCCATCTGCTCTCTTCTTTCTGTATCCACTCCCACCAAGCAGGTCCTTGGCACCTTTCACCTGGACAATGACGACAGCCTCCTGGCCAGTCTCCCAGCCTGCAGCCACAGTGTTTTGCTCTGTGTCTCTTGAGTAGCCTTCCTAATGTGATTGCATCACTCTTGGGCACAGAAGCCATTTGTTGTTCCCAACTCTATACAGAATAAAGTTCAAATTCCTTTGCAGAGTACTTGAGGCTGTCTCTCCTGTGGTGTGTACCCACTCTTCTTTCCCACCCCATCTCCTCTACTTCTCTACAGATAGGTGCTGGTTAAGAGTTTGTGTTCTAGAGTGAGGGGGAAATCATGCTGGAATCCCAACTCTACCACTTCCTAGGTGTTTGACCTCAGGCAGATTTCTCAACCTCTCTGACCCTCAGTTTCACAATTAAGATTTATAATAAAAGTACCAAACTCATGGAATTGTTTTGAGAATAAAATTACATATGGGATGTAATAAGCACATTGCCAAGCCTTGGTAAGCACTCAAAATACGGGAATCAATATTAGTATTACAAACCTGCCTATGCCTGCAATGTTCTCTAGTCACTTTTTTTTTTTGACACTGAGTTTCACTATGTTGTCCTGTGTAGAGTGATCATAGCTCACAGCAACCTCTGGAATAGCCAGGAATACAGGTGTCTGCCAGGACACCCAGAGAGCTTTACCGGGTCTCAAATGCCTGAGCTCACAGGATTCTGGTTTTGAGATTACAAGTGTGAGCCACTGTACTTGACCAACTAAGGCCTTTTTGATCATTCGAAAGGGATTCCTCCCTTCTACCTCACTTATCCACTAAGGGCCTTGAATCACTTCCAAATAGGGCGGAAGGACATAACTCTTAAATACCCAATACATGCACCTGCATCTTCTCTGCCTGCTGGGCTTCGTAGCCCCTGCGCCCCTACCATACTGCTTGACAAATTGTAGGGACTTTGCTGCCAGGTTTTCGATAGAATAATCCAATATGTAGGACTCACTCCAGGACCCTGCTGCGGCAAGGAGCTCCCACCCTATTTTGCCGCCTCCACAGGAGGTGGAGCAGGCAGGCCCCCCCCCATCCGCCCCCCCCACCCCCGCTTCTGCCCCAGACACACCTTGAGGATCTCATCTCCAACAATGATGATGCCAGCCGTCACGCTGCGCCCCGGGGGGGAGTCAGAGGCCCTAGATGTCATGCTCCTGCCTTCTCTGCCCCTCCGCAAGGCCTTCCAGTAGCCACCCAGACCCCCAAGTCGGGGTAGTAAGCACAGGGGGCTCGCCAGGTCTACAGGGCACTGGGGACCATAGCCTGGGAACAAGGGGTCCGAGATCGAGGGAACCTGGAGGAGCCAGAAAGGACAGTCGGGGAGAGCAGGAGTGCACGTTCTTCCTGAAGGAAGATCCCTCAGACTTCTCTAACAAGATCCTGGACAAGCGCCTCCTTTATTCCGCCTCTTTAAACAGACGCGTTCTTAGCCCCCAACCTGTGCCCCAGTAATGTCTTCTAAGCTTGGCTGTAACTTCGTTTAAATGTCCTGCGCCCCGGAGAACGCACCACTGTGAATGTCTTCAGTCTGCGAGCCGGCCTCCTCGGCGTCTGCTCTACCTTGGGCACCTGCACCTTTAAATGTCTCTCCAGTTCGGGGCATCTGCCCCTTTAAACGCCTACCTGCTGCAGGGCCCCGGCCCCTTTAAACGCATCTCTCTTTGTACCCAGTGTCCTTACACCGCGTGCTTCTGCACCCTTTCCAGCCCAGAAAGCCCTCTCTTCCCGCCAAGCTTCAGAGTATTGAGTGCTTCCAGGCTCTCACCTGCGGTCCGTCCCTTCACCGGGTGTTTCCCACGTTCCGTACCTCATGTCCTGGGGCAGCTTCCGTACTCAAAGTCCCTCCTTACTCATGTTGATTGGTCATTTTGGCTGTCGCTTAGACTCCTCAAAGGTCCCATTGGTGTAGTTGACCGTCGCTCTCGGGCTTTACCCAGTGGGCGGGAGCAGCGCAGGTTGTTATAGGCAACAACCACTTGGTCACCCCTCGCCCGGAAATGTGGAGGCCGGGCCTTGTCGGGGGTAGGATATAAGGATTTAGAGTGTGGAGGGCCACTGTTGGATTCTAGGTGGTCACCTCTCCTGCTGGAGGTGAAGGGAGGCTGAACGCCGTTCTGTACTCTTGTATTCATATGTTGTTTTCATTAACTACGACTAGTTCTAGGCTAAAGGCTGGTACTGGAGGATTTTAGTTTCTATTAGAAAGGACGCCAAGAATGCATTGCCTGTCGTGGAGGAAGACCCTGGAGTAAGCTTTTAGAGTGTAGAACCTTCATTTGTCTGTGGTATAACGGACAAAATTACTTAACACTCTTTAAGAAACAAAGTCCAAAACCCTCTGTTCCTCCACCTTGCTTTAGATGGTGCTCGGTTCAAATATCACTTGTCCCAATTATTGGTCACGTAGGTACAAATTAGGCAGTGAGTTGGAAGGGAATGCCTTGTGTGTCCACTTTGGATTCTTGCATCATTCTAGCTTACTTTCATTTCAGTTGCCTTTGGCCTATAATGCTCTGTAAACTTAACTTTTATACAGATTATCTGCGGATCTTTTGTAATACGCAGATTCTGATTCAGTAGGTTTGCGCGGCCAGTGATCTGTGTATGGCTCCCAATGGGATGCTTTTGGTGCTGGTCTGTAGTGGTAAGGGTCTAAAATTCATTGTTCAGAGAACTACTAAACTCGGTCTGATGTTACTCTCTTAAAAACCTGTAAAATAGGGTGGCGCCTGTGGCTCAAAGGAGTAGGGCACTGGCCCCATATACCAGAGGTGGCAGATTCAAACCCAGCACCGGCCAAAAAATGCAAAAAAAAAGAAAAACCTGTGAAATAGCTGTCATGCTCACTTTACATATGGGCAGCAGCCTCTGAAAGGTGAAAGGGCACCACACAATCACAGAGCACGACAATTAGTAGAGTCAGGGGTCTTAAAACCATTCTTTAGGATCAGCACCTGTCGCACAGTGATTAGGGCACCAGCCACATACACCGAGGGTGGCGGGTTCAAACCCGACCTGGGCCAGCTAAACAATGACATCTGCAACAAAAAATAGCTGGGCCTTGTGGTGGGCGCCTGTAGTCCTAGCTACTTGGGAGGCTGAGGCAAGAGAATGACTTAAGCCCAAGAGTTGAAGTTGCTGTGAGATGTGATGCCACGGTGTTCTACCAAGGACAACATAGTGAGACTGTCGCAAAAACAAACAAAACCCCCCATTCTTTAATAAGCTCTCTTTCACCTGCACGTTGGTGGTTCACTCCTGTAATCACAGCACTCTGGGAGGCTGAGGTGGGAGGATCCTTTGAGCTCAGTAATTTGAGACCAGCCTGAGCGAGAGTGAAACTTGATCTCTGTAAAAAATAGAAAAATTAGCTAGGTGTTGTGGTGGATGCTATAGTCCCAGCTACTTGGCAGGCTGAGGGAGGAGGATCACTTAAGCCCAGGAGTTTGAAATTGCTGTAAATTTTGACACAACACTGTCTCAAAAAAAGAAAGAAAGAAAGAAAGAAAAAGAAAATCAGCTCTTGCCCCGTGTAATGGTGTGCACCTGCAATCACAGCATTTTGGGAATCTGAAATAGGAGGATCACTTGAGGTGAGAAGCTGGTCTAGACTGGGTAACTGAAGGAGACCTCATCTCTACAAAATAAGTAAATCAGCCATGATGATGGCAGTAGTGCCAGCTGCTCAAGAGGCTAATGCAGGGCTCAGTGCCTGTGGCTCAAGTGGCTAAGGCGCCAGCCACATACACCTAAGGTGGTGGGTTCAGATCCAGCCTGGGCCCGCCAAACAACAATGGCTGCAACCAAAAAATAGCCAGGCGTTGTGGCGAGTGCCTGTGGTCCCAGCTACTTGGGAGGCAGAGGCAGAAGACTCGCTTGAGCCCAGGAGTTGGAGGTTGCTGTGAGCTGTGATGCCATAGCACTCTACCCAGGGGGACAGCTTGAGGCTCTGTCTCAAAAAAAAAAAAAAAAAAGGCTAATGCAGGAGAATCCCTGGAGCTGGGGGTTCAGGCTGCAATGAGAGCTAGCTATGATCTTATGACCATACCACTGTACTACAGCCTAAGGCAACACAGTGAGACTCTTGTCTCAAATAAAACGCAAAAACCTCACCTTTGTAATGACAAACCACATGCTCCAATCTTTGTAATAAAGGTGGTATTTGACCCCTTCCCAAAACATCAAGTATGTTCAATCCTTTCCCAGTGCGTTTTCAAACTTAAGCGCATCTTAGTCAATTGGGGAGTTGTTTTTTTTTTTTTGAGACAGAGTCTCATTATGTCACCCTGGGTAGTAGAGTTCTGTATTGTCACAGCTCACAGTAACCTCAAACTCTTGGGTTTAAGCAATTCTCTTGCCTCAGGCTCCCAAGTAGCTGAGACTATAAGCACTCACCACAATGCCCAGCTATTATTATTTTTTGTTGTTGTTGCAGTTGTCACTGCTGTTTAGCTGGCCCAGGCTGGGTTTGAACCCGACAACCTGGGTGTATGTGGCCAGTGCCCTCCCACTGAGCTATGGGTACTGCTAACTGGGGAGTTTGTTAAAACATTGCTGGGCCCAATCCTTAGTTTAGGATTGAGTAGGCTCAGGGTGGAACTCAATAATTTTTTTTTTTTTGAGACAGAGTCTCACTTTGTCACTCTTGGTAGAGTGC